ACTCTGGTGATCCTCTTACTTAGTTTAATTTGTTCAGTGCTGGTTCTATCTGAAAATACCATTTTCAGTACAGGAACATCACTTCCTACAACAAGCTAATGACAGTGCTGAAATGATGCCGCCTGGTCAGCACTTCAGAAGCTGCTCTGTAAGCAGTGGCTAATTTTGGCTCATTAGCCCTAGCACACTAAAGAAGAACCAAAATGTCAGGTCAGGTTTTAGCTGGGTGCTGAATATTTGATGGAATTTTAATTGGTTTGGAGGCTTAGAAATATCAGGCTATACAACAACCTTTCCTTTTTTTTTTTTTTTACTTCTGTGCAGTAGGATTAAAGGTACACGTGTATAATCCACTGTGCTACTCGTAGAATGACTTGCTGACCTTACAGTCACATTGAAAACCTGAATAGTATGAAAAGTATGAATATCTGAAATCATATGAAAAAGAAAACAACCTTCAGTACACATTGTGCGTGAACTGTGATGCAGCCAACTTTCACAGTGGTTCATTCACCAATGAATGCTTGAATTTCATCTTTGTATGTAGCAATGAATAAAGGAAATAACCACATTATTTTATTTTATGTCCATTTGTTAACATGTCTACAAGACTTCTTGTTATTCTGCTTGTTGTGCTTTTGAGCAAAGGCAAAAAATCTTTGACTGTCTGAAGTAAAATGTCCATAAGATGAATTTACACATCAATATCAAGTCAGTTTAAAATTATAATTTTCAGAGTATTCCAACGTGAAGTCTGAATGAATGTCCCACTGACCTTTCACTTAACTCTTTAAAATAACATTGATCTCCTGAAGGTTTGAATCGACTTCAGCTCAATACACTTTATCAAAGGCAGCAGGAACAGCTTCATGTGAACTCTCTGTGTCCATCTTTAAAGAAAAAGGTCGTTCTGACACTCCTTCTCCAAGTATATACGATATGTCTGTAACTTTAGCTGTGGATTGAACATGTTTCTCGAGTTCAATGAATTTAGCGCATGTTCTGTATTTTGTATTGCATTTTTCCGGCAGAGAGGAACTAAGGCACCTCAGTCAACCAGTTTGCGACAAGGTAGAGGCTTAATGAAAACATTCCCTGATAAATCACTGAAGGCTGAAGACTGCATTCATTGCTATGCTGCAGTTTACCATGCTTTCACAATATAAGCTATGCACGCTGTTTCACTAGCAAGCTCTTATATATGAAATTAAGCTCCCATCTACCTCACAGAGTGATGTGCTGAATCTCAAAGATGGGCTTACATTTATTTAAAGCACTCACAGTCAGTAGCACTTAATAATACAGTGAAATTTAGTTGTATGAATCAGGTACCAATAAAATACTTACTGGTTCCCATTGGTCGCCACAGTGGCAGAAAACAAGACTGAACCAAGGGAGTGATGATTGCGCATTTTAGAGGAAAGTAGTCATAAATTGGGTACCTACAGGGTACAGTACTGGGTTGAGGAAAAATAACAGCAACCTTTTCAAGGGCTCTAAAAGGTTTTCCACCCTGCCTTTGAGTGTCATCATTATGTAACACTTTAGCCTTTAAAAAAAGTCTTTGTAAGGAAGCGCTAAATTTGTGGGATTATCTGTGTCCATCTCATCAGAAAACAAAATGCACACACAATAATAATAACAAAGGTGCATTTGTTTTCTTGGCTCAACTGCAATTCAAATACTTCCTTTCCTGGATCTTGGTTATCCCAAAGTTGTCCATTTCCAGATCAGTGACTGTATCATGTAAGACTTTCTTTTCGTTTTGGGTGCTGCCAGCAGCAGTACAACAGGCCATTCTTGATACTTGTCTCTACATGTAGCAGGTCTCAGAATCTATTTCTGACACCTTTTACCATTCTGGTGTCCTTCTGTTAATTAAAACTCCAAATATAGCAGCACAGGGTTGCTCTTCTGGTCTTGCCGTTGTTGTTGGTGGTCAAGTAGTGGGGCAGTTCTCTATCTATGGAATCAGATTTGTGTCAATATTTAAATAAAACTTTGTAATATCAAAAGTAAAAAAAAAAAAGAAAGCGTTTTAAATCATGGTTCTTTTATTTTTTACTGTTGATTAATATGTTCTTTTGTTTACAGTTCCCTCAGTTTCTTTGCCACTTATCACACATTTCAGCTTTGCAGTTACACTGCCAGCTCTCTTGTTTGTGCTGTTTTAATTTCACGGATACCCTAAACATCTAGTACAGCAAAGGCAATATCAATACTTACATTTTATTAATATTGTAGGAATCCAGTAGAGATAGCCAGTGGGTTCGCCAGTGCTGCTGTTTAGTGTGTCTGTTTCATGTTTATGTTGATTATATTGACACAAATCTGATTCCATATCTATCAGGCCTGTTGACACTGTGAACCATTTTCTTATACATGGACTCATATTTCAAAGGAGAACCATAATAAAAATGAGAGATTGCATATTCTCGCTGCCTTTGGTAGCATAAAATAATATTCACTGATGGATCAATCCTTCCTAAGGTTGGCATTACGGCTCACTATGTGTCATGTAGTGTTTGTCGGTACATAATTTCATATATCAGAGCAGTCCGAGCTGTTCCAGCAATAAGGAAATGTGTCACAAAAATTACTTAAATGCTCTATTTCTACAAACTTGCCACCTTACAGCAATGAAGCAAAGACGCATTTCGCGCAGGAGCTGTAACTGCTTGTTTTTGTTTTTCATGTAACAGCCGGTGCAACCATGGGCAAGGCGGGGAGTAAAGTCGTCAGAGAAACCTCAGTGGATGGGGTTCCAGCGCAGGTAAAAGCAGCCAGCTCACACGCATATAAACACAAACACATTCCCAAAAAACACATAGAGGAACACAAACACATTCAATTGCAGTGATGGTTAGTGCTCTGGTGGTTACAGCGGTGTGTGCGTGTGTGTGTGTGTGTGTGTGTGTGTGTGTGTGTGTGTGTTCTGATGCTGGTGAAATGGACCAGCTGTTGTGTTCTCCAGCTATCACAGGTTATGCAACCAGGATCAGCTGCAGCTTGCTTTCACACTTCGTTTTCCCACATCGCATCATCATACCTATAATCACCAAAGTACATTACCGAGCTTTGGACATACCATTAATATCTTGTGATTAAGCTGAGTGAAGGAACGATAGTTACTAGATGTTCCCAATGATGGACAGAATTAATTGCCAAGAGTATGTTTTATTTATGTAAGCCACTCACTACACGTAAAGATCTAAACATCTTCAACCCATACATTTTCTGTAAATTCAATGAAATTTATGTATTTTTTTGCCCCCAAAGTTTTGAAAGAATACACTTTTACTCAGGACTTCAGGGGCTGTGTAGGTTTTGGCTAATCAAGTGAATTTAATAGCATCTATTAAATACCTATTCACATCAAGGTACTTCATCAGATTGATGCAAAAGTCAAATTTTCCATTTCCTGCTCATGGGTTTTTAAAGTCCCCCCTACGCTCCGAAATATGTTTTGTTCATAGTTCCTTCACTTAGTTTGGATGATATGGTGATTGGTAATTTGGTCTAACTTATTATTTTTTACCTCCGGAGGGGCAGCTCAGCCAAATTGACCACTTTAGCCTGGTCTTGTGCAGGTCCTTTAAAATCAGCCTTATTATACACACACACACCGTATGTGTACCCAACACTGACAGTATACATAAGGTACACAAGGAAATTGAGTCTGGTTGCATTGCTCTCAATGTTACACACAGTTCCGGGAACAATTTTCAGAAAGATAAAAAAATATAGACATACAGCTTAAACCAAGGACAAAAAGCTGAACAAAGATGAGTGTATAAATATACATATTAAAAGCAACAATGAACAATATTGATTGGGTAATGAAATAGATTGCTTTATATACCTGTGTGGGTGTTTATGTACGGTATGCATGTCTATATATGTTTCAGTGTTACATGGGTTACTGACACTATATCTCTGCACTGGTTACGGATTACGTATCTAATATTAATAAAGGTCATCCATGGTCTGGCTCCAGACTATATTAAAGAACTTTTAAACAATTACAGCCCCATTTGGTATGTTTATTATTATTATTATATATATAATTACATTAAATGTTCATTAGAGTGAACAGTGCTCTTTAGCGTCTACCAGAGGGGAGAAGTTGGAACTGAAACACAAATTATTATAAGTATTAGTATTTTTATACATCTTAAATTTAGTTTTATTAGTATTTCCTGAAATCATCAACCAGAGATAATAAAAAGGCTAAATACTTTGGTATAAAGTGGTATACATCCTTATATCACCCAACCCTACCACTGCCCACTGTCAGATAAGATGAGCAGACTTACTGATGCAGTTTATTTCTTAGACTGACAGTATTACTTCTATGTAAGAAAATAGTAGACTGTTAAAGCATAACAACATTTTATGTAATTTAGTATAGACCATATAGCATAAACACATTACCCAGTTTTTTCTGTTCCATCAACTCTTCCTTTTTGCAAAAATGATACAGAACGTTTGGCTGTAGTCTGTGTGAACAAGCAAGTAATTTCTTCTCTTTGGCAAATAACTGCTCTTGCTGTGGTTTCAAAATGTTAAATATAACAAACAAAATATGGAAACACATACTCTAGGACTCTCTTAGACTCATTTTTGTGCTGTCTGTATATGTGTATGTTAGCTGCCATCTTATCTGAGGTCATTATCTAAATTCTCCTCAAAACCCCAAATCATCCGTCATTTCCTTCACCAACATCATCCATATTCGCTGCACCCAAGTGACTTTTCAGCTCATGCTCTGGCTAAAAGGCGCACCCTATCACCCCATCTCGTCCTGTGTTGGCTGCGTGGGTGCCATCTTTGTCAGCTCGTGCGGCTCGTTGGTGGGCTCCACACGGCGAAGCTGGACTGCAGTGAATTGATTCACAGGGATTAGGGATTAGGACTTCCCTGGCCGCTTTGGTGGAGTAAATCTGGGGATTATGATGTCAACAGCCTGTGGCTGCAGGAGAGGAAATTGAATTGTGAGAGACGGGAGTGCCGATGGCCCAGGATTACTGCACAGTCAGTGAGAAATCAGAGATGGGAGTCCATGTCTGTGCCTTTCTCCTGTTCAGGAAAACCTCCATGGAGCACCATTTACTGCCCCTGGGGTGTAGGAATCACTTACAAAGTAGAAATATCTCTAAGTAAATGTTTAGGATGTTGATTGAGTGATAAGAAGATTTCTGTGTCACTGGTAATCCAGTCCCTCCAGCTCTGGCCTGTGAAGCATCAGGTGGTGAGTACCATTAAGTGCAGCAGGGATCACTTGGAGCTGACAGGGATTTCTGCTTTATTTTACAACAGATAACATGGAGGAGAATATTTGGTCAGAGAATCCACAAATATGAGAAACTTTTACAAATGTATGACCTAACAATTTTACACTCATTGCTAACCTGCTGTGTCTTGTTGTGTTTGTGTATTCAAGCCAACCCCCGCTGTGGCTGCTCCTGCTGCTACTGTTAAATTTGAAGGACTGACTAAAACCAACAGGATGAAGGTGAAATGGACCCAGCTGGGTTTGGTGTTCTTCCTCGTTTTATCACTGGTGATGACAGGATGCTTCTTCTGGCAATATCAGCTGCCAAAACTTCTGCCAGGTAAGACCAAACACTACTGATAACCACATTGCAGGTTTTTTTTCTTCAGACAGAAAGGTCTGAAATTTGTCAGGAGAATTGTCTTGAAGCTGAGCAATCTTCATCGTAGCCAGTCTTTATATATTCACATTGAAGTTTTTCCAGTGGACTTTTGAGGTACTGTTCAAGACCACATATTTATTCAGCCTAACGTAAATGTAAAAACTGACCTCTGAAACTTTAAAAAGAAGGATGGGTATTAGTGTTATTAAATGTCAAGAGTGTAACATTCAAGAAATGGAAAATAATATTCATAGGTATCTTTTCATTAGTGTAATCACCTGAATATATAAATCATTATGTCTTTGTTACCATAGAATGAGCCGTTTTTATCAACAGACACCACGGGTCCCCTTCCATAGAGTCTGCCATGTTGAACCATGATGTTTCTGAAGTAGCCCAGAAGGCACAAACCAAACACTGGCTGTAGATAGGGCCATTTGCGTTTTAGAAAGGGAGGGTGAAACGAGGGAGTTGAATCTCTTCAATGAAGCATTAAAGTCAAATTATATAGTCAAACTTACCGAAGTCAGTCGGGAGAAGAGTGAAAACATTTTTTCCATCGAGAAAAGCCTTCAGTACCGTTCATTGCTCTTCTTTTTTAAATTAAGAAATACTTTTTGAATACAGTTCTGATATAACTGATGCTAGCATCATCTACAAGCACCCATTAAACCGTGCTTGTGCCGTAGCTTCCAGTAGTCTTCATAGGATGTTGAGTGATCCGGGTTACGAATGCAAACACCACAAACGCATTGGTTGAAGCAAGATAGATTCTTGCGTGACCTCAGAACTTTGTGAGTCCAGCTGCCTCACAAGATTACATTGTAACTGATAATAATTGTGTAATACAGGGGCAGGATGGGCTACAGGTAAAAGCGACCGGCAAGTAACCGAAAATGGTCGCTGGTTCAATCCCTGGTACTGATAGGAAGGTGTAATCCAGCTGTGAGATGGGGACTGAAGCCAGAGCAAGGCACTGAACCCCAAAACTGCTACAGGGGCACTACAGGCAACTCTGCGCTCTCATGTGTGGTTGGCTAAGTACATGGTGGATACAGGATATAAGATACATTTCAGTTACCTTGCCATCAATTACCATTTACAATAAAATAATCTTCTTCATGTATGTCGCGGTATATTCTGAGACAGTTATCTTACCATGAAAACCTACCGCATTGTAAAAAAGCATTTGATGTGTTTGCTTTTGACACACAATTGCCTTAAAGGACCAGTGTGTGGGATTTAGTGGCATCTTGCAGTGAAATTGCAGAGTACAAGTAACTGAACACTGCTCGCATCTGTCTTTGATGACCTGGGAATGAGAACAGCCAATGAAAACACGTAAGGCCCTATCTACAGCCAGTGTTTCGTTTGTCCCTTCTGGGCTACTGTAGAAGCATGGAGGAAACTGGTGAGTTGTCTTGAGACTTGTTCTTCTCTGCCAAAGCACACTCAATAAATGACAACACAGAGTAAGAGGAGAACAGTTTATCATGTATTATTTTGGTTAAAGAAAACTCAGTGAGACTGTGAAATCCAGTTACTGTACGCTCTACCATGTTTATTGCATTTAACACTGAATCGCAGCTGTTCGCTTGCAGCAATGTTCTCTCTTATCTGATCTCAACCTCAGATCCTATTGCAACTTTGATCAAATCAATAGATTATTCTCTCATAATTAACTGATACAGATCTTATAATTAAGAGATAAAAACCATTTCTTAATTGTATGATCTTTATCTTATCACTGTTAGGTAAAGCCCACAGTTGTTGTGCTTACTGGGAGCGCTGGCAGCATCATAACAAGTTCAAGATCTCAGATGGTAGTGTCAATTAAAACAGGGTAAACAATTGGAACTTGACAGAAAGGTGATAATTTCTCAGACAGTACAGGTTGTAGTTTAAAAGTCAAAAGAATACAGACAACATTCAAGATTGACATTTGAAATAAATGAGAGTGAAATGTTTTCCCTTTAATCCAGGAAAATCAGTGTAAACGTCAAACACAGCGTCAGACCATATCAACCCTTCAGCTGTAGAAGTGGTGCTTTAGATCATTCAGTTTAGTTTAAAGGTGTTGACACTTAATTAAGTCACCTCGACAGGCTCTTTAGTGTAATTTATTCAAACAGAGGGCACAGCCAAAATGCTTTATTCTTTAAAACACACTGTATACATTTATAAATCTCTACATGACTCTGTATGAATAAAGTAACATCAGGTGTCATTATTAACGGGAAACGCACAGCTCCACAGGCTCTTCATTCATACACCATATATACCGAAAAACAATTATTTTTCATGTGCAGCATTCATTTGGAATGAAAAGCCAAATGGTGGCCTGAACATATTGAAATATCATTGTTCATTCAGACTTCACAGTGAGAGCAGGATGCATCTCTTTTGATCAGCGACTTGTACATGATACATCCTGTCAAATTGTATCCCGTAAGATCAATGGGATTCATCAGGAAGCAGTGGGAATTAATGAATCCCTAAGCCGTCCAATTATACCACATTATGCTGGGCTTCTGTGCCGTCGATACATTTTTCTATCAAATACCAAGTTGGAATTACAATAGCCTGTCCCCCCTTGTGCTTCCTTGACTCTTTATTTCTCTCTTTCTCATTTCCCATCCGTCGGCCAGATGACGGGATGGGTCGCAATGCCAATTCAGAGATGATGTGTCCCCGTTTCCCCGAGCCTCTCCCGCTGGAGCATCCTATCCCCGGCCTGAAAGAGGCCTTGGAAAAGGTGAGAGGAGTCATTCATCGTGCACAGATTTAAATCTGTGGTTGTATTTCTATCATGCTCACTCAAGTCCAGGGAAATTTACAGGCTGGCTGTTGTAATCCTTCACACCAAATGCCGTTGCAATCGGCAGAAGGAGATTAAAGATATAGTAGATGAAAAACTAAGTGTCTCGAGCCAAAAGGTTGTGCTTCTTTCTGCAGGGAGCAGCAGAGTTCCCACTTGATCGAACACGTGCAATGAAATATATATCAACACCCCGAAGAGAATCTGAGAATAAACAGTCGTGGGTGCACATTAGTAATGAGGGCATAACTGTAGGAATCAAAGAATATCAGCATCGGGGCGACCGGTTAACTCAGTGGGTAGAGCTGGCGACCAACGTACCGAGGCTGAGTCCTTGCTGCACTGGCCCAGGGCCGAATCCGACCTGCAGCCCTTTGCTGCGTGTCATCCCCTCTCTGTATGCCCCCCTTTCCTGTCTGTCTTAAGCTGTCACTATCATAAAGGCAATAAAAGCCCAAAAAATATACTTTAAAAATAAAGAATATCAGCATCAAAGTTTGACTCATTAATGTAAAGTTGAGTAGAAGTTTGCCTGTACTGAAAAAAAAGCTTCTTTCATCTCAAACACTTAAAACCACATGACATTTTTTAGTATTCATTACAGTGAACCGTTGTCTTTCGCTAATGGCTGCCATGTGAGCACCTTGAAAATAAATTGAATCGAAACTTTCTCTAATTCACTTTGAAGGATAATTGTGTTTTACCTTCATTTCACAAGTAAAAGACGCTGATTTCTCCTAATGGAATATAATTTATAGACTGTGCTCATTAAACTAATATCTTTGGCAAAATGGGACATCAAAGTAATTGCTCTGGGGTTTCATATTGCAGTTGATGAAAGATATTTGTTCTTTGCGCATAGAACTAAATATAAAAACACTGTGAGAGACCACATTTGGGTGTTAACCTGGCTGTGTCACTTTGTACATGTTGTTATCAACCACAGACACATGGCTTCATGTCTGTCATACCTAAAGGAAGTTACATTGTCTGTCCTGCAGTGGTGGAAGAAGTATTCAGATCCTTAACTTCAAGGAGTTTTTAACTGGTGATAAATGTTATAATAATGCCTCTATATGACCTACATAAGCAGACAAGACTATCATGGAGAAGATTGGCTATTTCTGTGTAGTTAATCTTAATGCCTGCCTCCGGGTCGGATTTGTCGAATCCCCTCTTGAAATCAATGAAACAAGGCAGTGGAAACAGTCCATACGGGCTGACTGAATCTGTGTTGCTGCTTCAAGTAAAAGCACCAATGTTATAATGCATATTATAAATATAAATGTATTTTAAATCCTACTAAAGTAAAATAAGTATTATGAGCAAAATCTACCTAAAGTATTAAACGTAAAAGCACTTGTTCTGCACATTGTTAATGCTGATGGATCAATTTGTAAGCTGCATTTTAATGTTGGCCGGTCGAGGTGGGGCTAGTTGTACCTACTGTGTGTATATACAGTTAGGTGTCCAGTGGTTCCCAACCTAGGGGTCGGTCCCCGACAAAGGGTCACAAGGTAAATCTGTGTTGATCAGCAGGAAATAAAATAAAATATTAACATCAGCAAACACCAATTTTCTAATATTTGTGAAACATTGGATATGTTATTTTTAATTACATTTTGTCGATCACAACGTTCATTTTGCTTTGTCTGTCAAAGCACTTTTTTAAACTTTTTAATTATTATTATTAATAATGTAATAATTATTACAGGGTTGTTATTTTTAGGAACGATAGCTGTCACATAAATGTAGTGGTGTAAGAAGTAAAATATTTCCCTCTGAAAAGTAGAGAAGTAAAGGTAAAAAGTAGCAACATGGAAAAACGGGATCGAACCACCAACCTGATTAGTGAGCAACCCGCTCTACCTCCTGAGCCACAGCCGTCCCAGAAGTGTTCTCAGGAATATGTTATGACGTGCCTTTAGTCTCGATGAATCCAAATTGCATGAGGGCGGCGAATATGACAAGAGCAAACTCAGAAGCAGGGCTTGTGCCGGCAGAGAAATTTACATTTGTGTAATAATGCACAATATCCAGCAGTTACATTAATGACCCACTACGTTTCATATGTAGAAGATGTGATTTATATATCGCTCACAGCTACGATTTGCAGACAAAGCGACTTTTCTTTAGAGAAAAGAAAAGCGAGCGAGCGAGCTAAGTGAACATAATGATAGAGCTGTTGATGGGCAGGTGGCACACTGGTGGTAAATTCAGCTCTTGAAAATTATATGTAAAAGCTTCCGCTTCATGTACCTACTCAACTTTGTAGAGTCCAAGACTGTTCAAACCTCAATTTTAAGATGTCATTTGAAGTTGAGAACATTTTCATTTGAGGTTTTACTTTAGTATTATTTCTAATGGTCAGATGATTATCGCTTGCTTGTGAGTGTTCAAGGACTGCAAATACACTTGACTTGACACCTTATCTTTTAATTTAAAAGAAAGAAAACATTCAAACTTCGGCCTGAATATTTTAGGTGCAATATTAACGTATCTATTACACTTTTTTAGACACTGAATAATCTTTTCAAATAATGAAATGGAAAGCACCCTTTTATATATTATATATAATATATATATTTTAGTTGAAAACTGTGTTAAAAATGTTAATGTACATTTAGGCTAATATGCTTATCCACTTTCTTGTCAAGACAAGATCAAAACCACTCTTGTGTCTATATGCTAAATACTGAATGAAACTACAGCCAGCGGGTTAGCTTAGCTTAGCATAGAGGCTGGAAGCAGAGGGAAACAGCTAGCCTGTGTTCTTTAAGGCAAATCTTTTGTCTCCATATAAATTGGACACATTTCCAGAAGAAACCCCTCACTTCCTGCTCTGTCTCTTCCAGGTGGACGTTATGCTTCGGCAGAACATCAACCCCATCAGCCTCCCCTCTCTGTCGGCCATTGTGATCTTAAATGACACCGTTTTGTGGACCGGCAATTTTGGAAAAAGGAATAGCAGCGACCCTCTCTCCGGACCCCCCAACGAGTACACAATTTACAGGTGAGTGCTGCACTGAAATCTACAACACCAATGTCACAGATGTCCCTGTTGGTAAAACTTTCATCTCATCATCAGGCCACTAAAAGTACAGAAATTAAATAGAATAAAATACCCATCAATAAATGTATATAAAATAAGAACAGATGGGTAAAACAACAAATATAAGAAATAAAATTAACTAAAAATTAAAATAGGTGTTTTACTTTAATAAATGCTTTTTTTAAGTGGTGATAGAAAAGATGACTTCGAGAAATGGTTGTCGTGTCAGTTAGCTACTCAATTATGTTTTCTGCAAATTGAGCACTTAACATCAACTCAAATAATTCTCTCATAACATTTCATATTTCCCTGTAGTTGGTACAATATAATATTGTTCTTTCCACTTAACTGCCTTTGAAATTATTAGGAAATGAAGGTTTAAATGTCTCGACACGCTGCCAGGAATAATATTTTGGTTTCATTTTATTTTAGTTGAATCATGTTTAGGTGTATGAAGGCCACTTAAACCCCAATTTTCCACATGACCTGTGGATCAGGGCTGTCACTCATTAAACACTGATGTCTGCTTTTGTGGATTTTCTGTCAGTAAAGTCCCTTTACATAGTTGCTATCACTGCTCTTTCTCACTAACCTGTTTTTTTTTCTGTTATTGATTCTGTTGCTGCAGTCTAAAACATAAAACACATAGTTCTCTGTGCTGCAGAGGAATGTGTTTTCATTATTTTATCACCCTAATTCATTGTAGCTTACTAGGCCCATACAATTGTACAATTGATGCAATGTATATTTTTCATAATTGTTCATGTAAAAAAACAAACAGACAATTGTAAAGAGAGCTGGTTTTGACCATCCTTCACCATCTGGCCACCCATATGATAAATTTCAGTGGGTGCAACACATCTGCACAGTAGCTTCTTTGATGTGTAATTAATGATGCAGCATGATGGTGATAATGTTACACCTGGATGCCTGATGATTTTTCTAAAGCAGCTGCTTTAGAGTGTGTTCAGCAGATCTCCAGGGGAAAGGAAAGCTGCATAAAACCAGTTGCAATTACAGTTATTTATCGTAAGAACAGATCATTGATAGTACTGTACATCAAATAATAAATGCTATAATAAACAAAAGACCTGAGCTACAGCAGATTTGAGAGGATTTCTCTCTAAAACAAAGAAAACTGAAAGCTAAACCTGGGTCAGTCCTCAGAATCACAGTTTACATAATTTAACACACAAGACATACGTCCATTGCAATCAATAGACCTACAGCGGAAAGCTGCTCACACAAAATCAAAGCCGTCCCGAATGACAGATCATTGGGTCAATATGAGCTATGCTGGCAGTGTGACAGGTGGCTCTGGATTTGGAGAGTCAGACTGGGTACATGTGTGTCTGAGTGGAAGTAAGGGCGGCATGTCAGCAGTCGGCCAAAAACCAGAGCGGACACATGAAAACATGACTACAGCCATGCTAGCAGAAGATAGAGATGTAGATATATGTTAGTCTGATCGAAGGTGTAACATTGTGCAAAGGTTATATGTAAAAAGCTTTTATAATTGTTTCCTTGCCAACTGATTTAAAGAGGTACTTTTAGAGGTTGACCTTTAGTCTCTAAGCTGTGATTTCATTGATAAAACATAATGGCATCTTTATTTGATCCAAAATGCCAACATATCAAACTCACATCTCTCACAAAGCAGACTTTCTGGAAAACATGTGAAATTGTCAATGCAAGAAAACCCTGCTGACATGATCTTTTTTTCTTAGTTCAGAAGTTCAGAGAGTCAAAGCCACAGAAGACATCCAACCACGTTCTCACACTGAGTAGCACTCATTGTGTTGTTTAGGTGTAATATTGGTGGAATAGCCTTTTAAAAGACAGCGTGTGCTGTGTGTGAGTTGTAATTACTCCGGTAATTAGTGACCAGTCCCACAAACATAGACAGAAATAGAAAATCAAATGTCCTCTTTGAATTGTTTCATATGTCAAACTTGACAGAAAAATGCCAGACAGCAACATGCAATCACACATAATAAGTACAGCAATCTGCAACCATTGTATTACTTGTGTAACAAGTGTCACCAGCACATTTAACTCTTTGAAGTGTGACATTTAGAATAGATACATAAAGATTTACTGAGTTATTTCAGATGTATATATTTTTTTGCAAATATCAACTTTCATGATTTGTGAATGTTGGAAATTCACTTTCACTTTCAGTGTTTGCTGTCAAAACTCCCTTTTTAACATCTACCTACACTTAAAAAGAATAAATCTTAATCTTAATTTGGATCATTTTAGTTTTCATTAAGAGAAGATCAACCAGTAAATTGTCTTAACTACTGATTTTGTAGTAACACACCTAAGGAAAATGTAAAAAATTACGTGTGTCCACAGATCAATGTAAAATCTATAAATTAAAAAATCCACAATTGGGGGAATATGTTATTTTTTAAAGCAATAGTTTATCATTTTGTCATCATACTGAGGTTTAAATAGCTTGTAACACCTATAAAACGAGGTGTAATGCGTTAATTGGTGAGCTTTAGACGTGCTGGTAGGTGGATTTTGTTATTTTTGTACAGAGCAAGGCTAGCTGTTTCCCCCTGTTTCCAGTATTTATGCTAAGCTAGGCTAACCAGCTGCTGGCTGCAGTTTCATCTTTACCCTACAGACATGAAAGTGTTATTAATTCTCATCTAAGACTGCAAAAAATAAAATAAGCAAAACATCGAGATATTCCTTTTAAGTTACAGTTTTGTGTGTTGAAAAGCCATATATTTATTTTAATCGGACTCAACATAGTTCTTTCTTTTCAACCAAGTCTATTTTGAGCTATTCATTTTAAGGTACTGCCAGGCAGAAGGCAAAAGACATGTTAATGGGGAATCAATAGCAAGTAAAAAGGAAAAACAAAGCTGGCTGGTGAGACACTGTAAACAAACATGAAGACACAATTTTCTGTCAGATTCTAAAACAATCACTCTGCTCTGTTATCTGTCTTTCAGAATTGCCAGCCTATCCAAAATCTTCCCGACACTGATGCTCTACAGACTGTGGGAGGACGGGAAGATCGGCTCCCTCGATGACCCTCTGGAGAAATATGTGGAGAACTTCACCATCAAAAACCCTCTGGGGAAGACGCGAGACTCTGAGCTAAAATATGTGACAGATGGCCTGATATTTCTGGACAGTGGGGAGGTTCAGATCCGCTCCTCCTCAGTCACCTTGCGCAGGATGGCCAGCCAGCTCTCAGGTACATTCAGAGGATGTTACAGAGCAACTTTGAATTGAACGGATTCCAGTGAGCCAACAGCTGGGATATGACACAAAGCTTTGAGATGTAATCAGATACAGTATGTCCCTTCTACAGTACATATAAGGCAGTTATTTTTGTGTGTTGGGCTGCATTTGAAAGACAGTTTGTGTTTGTTTTTAATTCTGGTGCGGGATATGGACATTTGTACACCCACAGGAGCTGACCTGTAGGAACTAAAAGGATGGAATAAAAACAAACAAAAGAGGAGGAAGAAGAAGAGGTTCCTCGTATAAGATTTTTCAAAAGGTTTATGGGGATGAAAGATTAAAGCTCTTACTTTTTATTTATCAGTTTTCGAGTTCAAACAATTCAAACAGTCAATTGGCAAAAAGAATTAATCCGCGACTAATTTGATGTTACAGAGACAAGTTAGGTAACAAATAGTCTGTTTGGAACAATAATGCATGTCTGATTGTATATTATATTATATATATATAATTATATAAATATATATTTCCACATTAAAGTCCTCAAATATTCATTATGTGGGATTTATCGAGGAGTGAAGTTGCAGATTTACTATTTCATGACCTGGGAATGAGAATGGGCTGTGAAACCTCAAGTAAAACCCAAAAGGTCCTATCTAGAGTCAGTGTTTGGTTTTTCTGTTCTGGGCTACTGTGGCGGTTTAACATCCTCTGTAGATAAAAATTGTTAATTCTAAGGTAACAAAAACACAACAATTTCTATATTCAGGTGGTTACACACTAATGAAAACATACCTGTGAATATTATATTTGATTTCGGCAAATAGATCCTCCTAAATATTACACACTGGACCTTTAAAGAACTTCTTCTACCTCATAAAAAATTCTAATAATCTATGATTATGTAAAATTTGATCATTTCTAAAATAAGTTTGTCTCCTACTTCACTGTAAAGTCCATTCTCAGTGTATGTGCACTGTTGATACATCACACTTATATGTGAATAATGTGAAAACATCCTTCTAATGTCAAACTTGGCACATACATCATTCTGCACAAAACATCCAACTGTAGGAACAAGAAGATAAAACATATCTTTGAGAAGTATCAGAAGTAACTGATTTGAACACTGAGCTGAAGCAAATGGTAAAAAAAAGTTGAGAAATAAATCTTCTAGTTTATAATTAGATGTTGCAGGTAACAACAGTGAAATTAAACATTTAGTACCTGAGCTGTTCAGATATATACCAGAAACTTTCCACAGTTACATCCATATATTGACCAAAGAGCTGCTATGATCGTGCACAAAAACAGGCACCTGTTTATCTGAAGAAGCTTTTCAATTTTTAAAACTCTGTGTGATGAATTTATATAAAATACATGAGAAACGCCTGAGGCAAGAAGAGTCATGAATCTTTAAATGCTCTGTGACAGCTGATCATTGAGGTATCAAGGCTGAACATAATAATCATATATTATTTAATAGAAAAAGTAAAACGAAATGAGAAATGTCTTATGCGTATAATCACAATTCATCTGTTATGCTTGATTTTTTTTTTATTTGACACTGTTTCACTGTGGGCTTATCCAGGCCTACCCAGGAGACTGCGGGCCACAAATCTGCTTTGGAAAGGAAAAACACAATCTGCAATCAATCTTCTACAAGATGATGTCCTCGTCGCAGACCCAGGCACCAAGTAAGATTTGCCATGCTGGGTTGATTTCAGTATTTCAATGTGTACATTTTCATTGTGCCAACTGGGATTGTAATTGCATGAAAATGTCTATTTTCAGTGTTGTTAATTGGTCCAGATTTAATACAACTAGCAGTGTTTGAAAGTACCTCTTCAAACGTCTATTTTTCCTGAATTTGGAAGGAAGACATAAAAAACATATTGCAGTCATTTTTACTCGAATGCTTAATCCTTACATCTGTGTGATTTTGACTAAAGATGCCAGGATTTGAGACATTTTACGACTAAATTCTGATGATTATTTCACTGATGCCTTGAAGAGATCATTCAAAATGCCATTAAAGTGCACTATTACCTTCAGTACATACATATCATTTTGTTAAATTATTACTTTAATACCTGAGTAGGGTTTAATAATAAAATGTCAGGTCTAATTACCAAAAATCCCCCTGTGACTATTATCCTAATATAATATATAATTTAACTGGGAAAATATTTTACCTTAAATTAAAGAAAAAACATTCAAAGTAAAGTTTATAAAGTTAGTAAAGTTTAATATCCAAGAGACCAACACTTTTTATTAAACCTGCAGGGGAGTTTTGGCACTGAGCTCCAGTGTTTAAAATGTATGCTTTGTAGACTCCCTGAATGCTTTCTGGTTATTTATTTTATTTCATTTATTCTATCTGCTGTTTTATTTTTTATTCTTGTTATTATATTTTTTTATGTACAATATTAAACATAAATTATATCATTTGATTTATTGTATCACAGTTAGCTTGAAGCTAATTTTCATGTGCAGTTCCAGTTATTTATTATTACCTGACAACCTTACAGCGATGACAAGACACCAGAAAGTTCCTCCCAGCCAAGAAGTATTCTTGTTAAGAAAGCCAGAATCAAATATTGAACTATTTCTAAAAATTTCAGCGTAGAAAATCGTTTTTTCTCGTATTTTCTATATGAACAATTAGATATTTGTGACACTCACCGTCTCTTTAACTTTCTTCCTTCCAGATGTCACTACAGCAACCTCGCCTTCTCTCTGCTGGCTCATGTGATGGCCGAGCGCGTTGCCTCCGTTGACTACCAGCGGTGGATCACAGACAACATCCTGGACCGGCTGGGGATGGAGGACACCGGCTTCGACATCACCCCGGGGCTTCAGGGCCAGATGGCCGTGGGAGTGTACTCTAGTGGAAAACCAGCCCCACTCTACGACCTGGGCTGGTACCGGCCTTCCGGTCAGATGTTCTCCACCGCCGCAGACTTGGCCAAGCTAGCCATGATGCTGCTGGGTGCTTATCACCGCAAGCTGCTGGAGCCAGACTCATTGAAGATCATGCTGACCCCACTCTTCAGGTGTGATAAGGACTACTTTGCCAACCGCACTGGAACGCCATGGGAGGTGAACGAGCAGATGGGATACGAGGTGGTGCGTAAAGATGGCGATCTTGACGGCTACTCTGCCACCTTCTCCCTGGTGCCCAGATTGAAGCTCGGTCTGGTGGTGCTAATGGCTGGCAGCCGGTCTCAGAACCAGGATGTGGTCACAAAAGCCTACAACCACATCATCCCAGCTATAGAAAAAGCCTTTAGGGAGGCCAAGAAGATCCTCTTTCCCCCTCCAAACCCAGAATGTTACATCGGCTTTTTCACCTACAGCAACATCACCTTCTACGAGATCAAAGTTGGGACGGACGGAGTTCTGGTGATGCAACAGTTTGGGCCTCAGATAGAAGAGCTGATCCCAGAGAAGTACAGGACAATAAAGCTCAACTACCTGGTTGACCGGGTGTTCAGAGTGGTTTTTGAAAAAGAGTACCCCTGTGTTTTGCGAGTTGGCACGGCCTCAGTGTCCCTGGAAGCCCAAGATGGCCAATTATTTAACTTCTACACATTCGACAAGCGGGGTCTGTCCCCTGGTTTTGATGCACCAGGACTGAACACGTATAATGTGGTCAGAATAGCCCGCAGGCCAACCTTCTCAAGCTGAACTGCAGCAAGGCTGCGTCCTACAGACAAGTGGTGTGTCCTTGGGATATGTGAGGGACTGTAAACAAAAAGAAGGATGTGAATATTGAAAGACCAAATGGAAAAGTTGGGGTCACAGTATTTGTTAAAGTTAGGATTGTGTGCTTGATTTACAGCGAGCACAGAGAGTGACGGCAATATGTATAATGTCTTGCACAGAAAATTAATTTCTCTGCTGAATGATGTATTTGACTGTCCTCTTCACACTGGTCCTTCATTATGCCTCTTAACTATACACCCACATTATGGTGATAAGGTGCTTGTGTTTTTCCTACTTTCATTGAAACCACTCTTACAATGTCTTTGTCTCTTCTGTTCTTGAGTTTTCATGAGAGAGAACAGCAGAACATTGGCTCCTGTTGTGGTCATTCACATGAATATTTGCACATCTTTAATTTTCAATTCTTGGACCATGACTGCAGTTTCACAGACTCATCGGCTCATACATATTTATCCTCCATTGGTGAAGGGAAAATATAATTTAATTCATTTGTGTGGCTATAAACCATGCTTTTGGCAGGTAAAAAAAGCCATTTTCATGGCTCATACTATGTATGCATCACTTTTACTAAAATACTGATGTTGCCACAGACATGGAACTTCTGATTTGGTGGCACCAATCATGCACTTACATGATGTAAGATGTAGAATATTTTCCCTCCCCAATAAGAAGCGATTAAGGACAGAGAGGCTTTTGGTTTCCTGTGTGACTCCTTGCTGTTTAATCCCTAAAATGGACTCCCAATCTCTAACACCAATATGAATAATACACTGCCCAGACTGCTGCAGGAAAGTGACGGAGTGTACGAAAATAACCCTCCTAAGGCAAGTCCTGATATTTTACCTTTCATTTGAGATTGCCTGTCTGATGGTGTGATGGAAATGGAATGGATATTGAAAACTTTGCTTACTCTTGAAGCATCAGGTGCTACAAGGGATATCAAGGGAAAGTGAATGTCATGCTGACTAAAATATAAATCTATTGTATCCACATTATTCAGCTTTGGATGAAATATTGAAACTGGCATTTAAATATGCAATGCATTGTTGTCACAGCCCACAGATTGAAGCTCAGTCTGAAGGATGGTGGGAGGAAAAACTAATTTGGGTCATGCTGTATTGTAAGCCATACAGAAACAAAACATGTAAATTATACCCTGTGTTGATTCTATCTATTATTGAGGCTTGTTATTTTGGGTAAGATGTCAGATGAAGCTTATGCAGCCGGCAGAAATGCAACAATCACACAATGCAATCATGATGATGAATACAACTCGTCAGCATTATGCTGCATTTATATTTCAGCCAGTTACAAAACATCAAACATAACCTGACATTAACATCTGTAAAGAAAATAATAGCTACGTGTGGACAGCTTCAACATTTATTTGTGTAGCTTTTAAATTAGGCATTGCACAATAGCCATAATCAATTTTCAACTTTGCGACCACAGTGAACAAAACCTTACCAATCAATCAAATCATGTAACATGATTGTTGGCCGTGCATAAGAGACAAAGCAAGATTCGGTAAAGCTCACAGTAAAGCATTACATTCTTTGTTTACAAGTTCCACTGAAACACAGAGACACCTGATTTTGCTGCCCAGCAACACATTGATTTTCCAAATAAGAACAAGAATAATCAAGTACAACACAATATCATTCAGAGCAGATTGTCCTTCTTTCCTTTTGGATTCACCCTCTAAGGCATACAGCAGTATACAGAGTAAGACAGCAGGTGGAATGTGCAGGCACTGTTAAACTATATTATCCATAGTAGCAAACAACCAAGCAAATCAAAGTCCACATACAAGCTTTGACATCTAATAAGTTTAAAGGAACATTGACATTTTGGGAAATAGGCTTATTTTTGGCAAAGGTTAGATGAGAAGATCGATACCACTATACCTGATAAATGTTGTTTACGCTTTGTTTTTTGTACAGATTAAACAAACCAGAGTGTTAATTAGTGAGAAGTAGCGGTGCAGTTATGGCTTGTGTCCACATCGTGTTGCCAGTGCCAGTATCTTTTAAGAGAGCGTATGTAACCACCTAGAGAAGAAAACATTGCATCCAGCATCTGTTTTCGGAGCACTGCGCCTTTTTATAATATACATTCTTTTTTTGCCTTTAATCGATACTGATAGCTGAAGAGTAACAGGAAAGAGGGGAGAGAGTAAAGGGTCACATATTGGATTCGAACCCATGGCCACTGCAGCAAGGACTCCGCTGTGGTACATGGGGCACCAGCTCTACCAGGTGACCTATTAGGACACACTGTGTCGTTTGTGCTGGTGTTATTATTGTCGCTCATTTTTAGGCAACCAATTGGGGGACTCAAAAATGGAGGAAAATCGTTCTGACCGTGTCTGTCTATCCTGAGCTCTATGATATGTCAGACAGAGACTATTATAATAAAGAGATAAATGAAAAGAAAAAAAAACTATGCTGAGACTTTACCACATTTTGTTGTCATTTATAGTCGCTAGCTTCTTTTTGTCTCTCTCCTCTGCCTCAGGACTCAGCTTCTACACACACATACACACAGAGAAGACAGTTGGTCTGTGTCGGTGGAGACTGTGAACTGTGTAGTATTAGGTTAAATACTGGGGTAGAAACCTTGTGCATGTTGTACTGTTGCAAGGGGAAACAATAAAGTCGAGGGGTTAACATGTGTGCAGCTGTCATTCTTGTGTTGTGATAAGGTTTCAGTGGACAACTGAACAAACTGGGCAAAGTGAAGGGAGTTCACTCGAGTAAAACGTAGAAAAAGTAAAAAATCAATATTTACAGTGCCTTCAGCTTTTTGTCCACATGAGTACCCTTACTTCTTATTAAGTACCGCCACCTCTGGTGAGCATGGCCGTACCCACCACTGAGATTACCAAGGTATGAACCCTTTTTCAAGGGTTAGACAATAAAACTTTTGAAATAATTGCTAGAAAATAACTTTGGTGCTTTGAGCCGTACCCCTGGTTCAGCTTTTGGACCTCAGCATTTCTAAAACACTGCATACAGTGACGCTGGTGAGGTACTCCTAAATGCTTGCGTCTCTGTGTTACCACATAGCCGCTAAGAAAACAGCACTGAAACTGTCCTTGTTAAAAAGAGTTAAAAATGCCTAAAGAATTAGGGTTAGGGTTGTGCTCAATTAGGGAACAGGCACCGTGTTCGGTCCAATTCAGGCAGTACATATTTCCACCTACAGTTGTTGCTACACAACCACGGCAGAGATCGCCAGCGTTATTCTGCCAGAAAAGATTCAAATGTCCTCAGGTGGCTTTTCTTTAGAAGCCGTTTCTTCCTGTTTCCTGTCTTCATGCTAAACTAAACTATCCTGACAGTCACTTCATACTTAACAGAGTGGTATCAATCTTCTCATCTAAATTCTGCAAGACAGCATATATTTCCCAAAATGTCAAATTAGTCCTTTAAAGTGGCTTCTGCTTGTTAGCTTATTCAAACCAAATCTCAGAACACAGAGGTCTTACAGGTCGAATCTTTACATGCACATGAGAGGATTGCGGTGTCCATGCTCAATGTCATGTTAGGAGACAACAAAGGGATGAAAGCGTTGGAGTCCTTACCATTAGCCTGAGCTCTGGAGCTTGAGACGGACGGATCTAGTAAAATCTTAGGGAATGGTGGCGAGTCTCTGACAGAGCTATTTTCCTCTGCTTGGGAGCACATGAGTTCTCTGAAACACTCCCTGAACCGTGTGGAGAGCAGGCTGTAGATGATAGGGTTCACTGCTGAGCTGAGGTAGAAGAGGATGCCCGACAGGATGTGGACGTACTGATAAATGTTGTGCATCAAATCGGTCCACTGGCTGATGGAACTCCACAGGAGCCGCTCGATGTGGAAGGGCGCCCAGCAGACTCCAAACACTGCAACCACGATTGCTGGAGTAGCAAACCAGAGAGAATGAGAATGACTTTAAAAAGTTTTCTAAAGTAGTTGTTGTTGCAGGTTGTTCTTTGTTGCTGTTTTTTTATGGATTTGTGATGGAAGGAGTGACATATTTTTGGTAGGTATCCCTTGCAGTTATGTACATTTTTAAAAAATAACTGAACAATCTTCCAAACAATACACACCGTTCAGTACACTCAGGGGTTTTGCTACTACAGATTTACTTGGACTGGTATAATCAGTTGCTAATATTTGCTAATGTTAGCAAAACTTACAACTTACAATACATTATTGAGTCAGTTGAGCTGTAAAAACTATTCAATTAATCGCTCAAATAATCGCCGGAAAATATATCTGCAACTATTTTCATAATCAGTTAATAATTTGTCAAACAAAAATGCAAACAAGATCTGGTTCAAACTTGTCAAATGTGAGGGTTTGATACTTTTTCTTTGTCATATATGAACAATAATATTGGAATTTCATCTTTATTTTGTGACAAAATTGTTAATCAATTAAGCAAGAAAATAACATGCAAACATGTCCCTCAGAGCAGCAGAGGTTGCTCTACATCACTTGGTGATAAAGCACATTACTCTCCTAATAATTTTGAATAATACTCTCTGGGTGCTCTCACGGAGGGGGGTGCAGCCGATGCAGGCTGTTTGGCTGTTTACGGTGGTGGACATATGGCATCAAGCTATCTGACGTAGCTTTGTTGGAAGGTTGGTGTCATAGTGACAAGATATTTATAAATGTGAGAGTTGCAAACATTTGACACCTACTTTCACTTTTCCCAACAACAGAGTTTGTGAGACTTGGCTATTCAACCCTTTAACAAACTGGGAACTGCACTTTTCCATTTAAGTAAAAAAAAAAAAAAAAAAGGATCTTATTCCACACTGTTTAATAGAATCACATTTATATTCTGTATCATCTTGTTCCAGCTCTTGAAGCTACAGTATATGATGTTTACACTGAGTGAAATATTCTATTTGATGCAAAAACTGCTTAAATACATCAAATGGAAATATTCCAGATTTCATTATATCCACAAAAAATCCACAAAAGTCAGCCTGACATGTATTTTTGGGATCTCTTTTAGACCTTATATACAGTTCTGTGGGCCTGAACAAACTTTGGCTGCACAGCATAAGTGTGTACTGACTGACTCCATAACCCCATAACAAACATAAAGATGGACGAAACGTCTCCGCTTCCTTATACTGCACAAAAATGAAGCCAAATTTTCCGGACACATCTGATGCATTTTGCGCTGGTGACATTATTTGGAGCCAGAGTTTGCACAGAAGTGATCGGGGTCACAAAGATGTTTTGGCACCGCTTTTGGGGAGCTGTCATTCCATCCATCTTTATATGCATTAAACAACTAACCCACACTCACAGGTAAGTGAGATTTAAGGGGAGAAGACTAATATAAAAAGGCTGAGAATGCTACACCTTGGTAAAAACTTTGCAGTTTAGATAATTCTATTCTAGGAAAAACCTGCTTCAAATCAAAAGTCGTAAAGCACCAAAATGTAGCTCAAACCATTCACTCCAAACCATTTTATTTTTGTTTATTATGATTCTCCTTCTATGAGATGACAACAGTGGTCCCAAGCCAATTTCAGTTTGAGAGCTCTGTGCTAGAGGAAATGTTAAGGGATCGCCAAAGAAAGTAAAATTCATCATGAGAGGAAGCTGAATATCAGCACTAACTTTAATGGCATCTCATCCAGTACTTGTTCAGACATTTATCCTTAGTTATAAATTAATGATATTTTAACACTCAAAAATTAAAAATCAGCAGCAGGACTCTGTGTTTTCATCATATTTGATTGACAGTTTCATCTCCCTGGCAGCTGTCAGCAGATTCAGATTTTTATACTGCTAATTATGATTGGCTGTAGAAGAAAAACTGACATATCTCATGTGAAAATACCTGAATTGCATCACTTAAACTGATTCAGAAAATATGTGTTCAGGGCCTTTAAGACGAATCCACTGGAATTCAAAACCATTATTTTGTTGTGGAAGAATTTTTAAACGATGGATGTATCAGTCTAGAATGAAATCAATTATCTAAGAACTGTGCTAACACTATCCATGAAATCTCATCAAGCCCAAAAGCTTAGAGGATGTGACTAAAAGATGTCCCTTAGAATACAAATGATCCATACAAAGAGCTGACAATCCTCTCTTGCTCTGTGTTTTCCTTGTGTTTTGTCTTTGGGAACATGTCTTGGCATTGACAACACAGATTAGAGGGGATCTGCTTTCAAATAATAGCAGCCTTTCACAGTAATGCATGTTTTTTGAAGAGAGACAAGAGAGAAAAAACAACTCACAGAGCATCTTGTTGACCTGTCTTCTGCGCCCATTCGCGTTGATCTTCCTTCGGGTGTTGTTGCCACAGTTCTTCCCCAGGTTCCCGCTCGACTGCCGTCTTTCTCTGCCCAAATGAAGACCCATTACCAGGTACAGCACGCTAATCACCGTCATGGGCACAAAGTAGAAGCACACCGTGGTGATCTGCATGACCATGTTATAGATCCACAGGGGCTTCAGCACAGTGCATATGGCTGACTCCTCCATCTTCTCTGGCAGGTAGAAGATGCCGTGCAATGAGGTGTTGGGGATGGCACAGATCATCGACACTACCCACACAACGGTGATGACCCTCTTGGCGTGCTGGTTGGTCGACAGATACCGTGTTTTGAGTGGGTGCAGCACAGCTATGTACCTCTCCACGCTCAGAGCTGTAACGTTGAGGATTGAGGCGAAGCAGACCGTCTCGAAGAGGAAGGTCTTGAAGTAGCACCCGCCTTCGCCAAAGGGGAATGGATAGTTCTGCCACAGGTCGTAAATTTCCAGTGGCATCCCGAACAAAAGCACAAGGAGGTCCGACAGAGCCAGGCTCAACAGGTAGAAGTTGGTGGGGTTTCGCATCTTCTTGTGCCTCGCTATCACTGCACATGTGAGCAGATTCCCAGACAAGCCGGTGAGGAATATGAGAAGGTAAACGCTGGTCACCGGGAGGAAGAATGGAGATCGTTTTGGACCCAGGATTTCAAAGAGGTTAACTTCAGTGAATTGGTCATTGGTGTAATTTCCAGTGGCGTTCAGTGGCATGCTGGTATTGTGGAACAGTTTAGATATGTTTGAAGGGGAGCTCTGCAAAGAGAGCTCCATTTCGGCAAGGAAAGCTGGAGAAACAACAGGAGATGTCAACACATCCTGTGCTGATTTCTGTGTTTGATCAACACTGGCGGCCTGAAATAAAAAGGAACATTTAGATACATTTTTTTTTAAAAATACAAAAAGTGCTATCAATAGAGTCATCTTTGTGGTGATTCCTACTGGGGTCAAACCACAGTTCAACATTTCTGCTTGTGTCATAAATTACACTTTTCAACTGAAACTCACATATCATCAGAACTGTGAAGGAATTTTCCTACTTTACATTAGACTGAAATTGTATTGCCACAGTGAAGTTGTCTCCAAACCTAAAGGAGGTCACAGGTCACGGCCTGTGCCTCATCATGGTGAATTTGGCCTCCTCTCTGACTGTCAGGCAGACTAGACTTTGCAGAGCAGCTGATAAGTTTGAACACTGAGCACCCAACATATCGTAGTTCTACTTTGTTGTGGAAGACCAAGATTAAGCACAATCTAACAGACAGACTGACTCTGTTATGTGTTGTTTTGAACCACTACCCAATTGGATCTTTACACACACATACGTTGTGTGGAGAAAACCTTGAGAGTGTGTTACACTTGTAAAAATAAAAACAATAGACCATGAAATACTAACATAAAACTGCATTAAAACTCAAGTAAGTCCATAAATAAAAGCAGGTTTGCAAGGCTGCATTACAAAATAGTCTATTTGGCCTTTGTTTAAAATGGATATTGCTGTGGGAATGAAAGAGTTTTTGTAAGTTCTCTTTTTGACTGGAGGAGTAGCTGAAAGGAGTGATGAAGGGGATGTGAAGGGTCCTCAGTGATGGTGTCTGTCTTTCTTTTTACTGCGTGACGCTAACAGTCTGAGAGTTGGGTCTGAGTGATGCCGGTGATTACAGTTGCATGCTTGACGATTCCTTTGAGCTTTTTTCTTGCTTTCCTCTGTAAGGAAGTTCTATCTTGCAGGATGCAATTTTGAATGAGTCAGAAAAGCAGCAAAACTTCATGTTTGTGAAGTTGAAATAATAATCAATTATTATCATTGATTCATTTTCTTTTCATGATCTAATTTATTGATTGAGTAATTGATGTCAGCTCTACATATCACCACACACTCACTGTACTGTACTGTGGCATCCAAAAGGTCTAAAACAACAACAACAACTCCCTAAGCACCAGCATGTGGAGACAGATAATGTCAGGACCTTAAATGCATCATTAATCAAAAAACACTTTATTTATTTATTTATTTATCAGGATGGTCAATGAATGCTATACACACACATTGATTTATTTCTACTTTTGTTAAGAAATATTTAATTATTATTATTATTACTCTTTTCTATATTTCTATTTAAAAAAAATTAAAACTATAAGCTGAAATGAAGAATAAAGAAGAAATAAATTGCACCTGATTTCCTCTAAATTACATAATTTTTGCTTCAGAATAACATTTTCTGGTCACGGATGATGAAGAAACTATTTAGTAGAAAACAATTTGCATTGAAATGTCCAATTCTCCTTGTGGGTTGAGGAATATAGCCTTTACTGACACACTAATATGGTTCAAGTCATTCTCATCAACTGGTGACTGTAGGGATAATAGGCATTACACAGCATGCACTAATAAATGCTAATGACTTCTTCCAGAAGGTCATTATGTTGCCAGATCTCATGCATCACCATGCAAATCCAAGGTTATGTGACTAATACGGCAGATTGTTGGAATTAATCTTAAAGACAGTTCAACATAATGGTCCTCTAATATTCCTGTCGGGGATTTCAACATGCCTGTAAAGTTTATTGAGATTTTTATTTAAAAATGTATCTCAGATGTTTAATATTGCCGTTATTTTTTTTTATATTAGGAGTTCAAGGTGTATTAAATGCGCTTTCACAAATATCTAGAAGCATTAGAAAGCAAATGAAGATGTAAAGACAAAGATCATATGCAAAATATTCTGAACTTGATAACACACTGGTAGCTGGTTAAACTTTTGTTTAAAATATTTAGAATAGACCTCACCTTGACGCTGCTGCTCTGCAACCCGCCTCTCATACCGAGCTCTCTGTGCGCTCATGATTGGAAATTAGATAATAAAACAGCGCAAATAAGGCGAGTTTAAAAAAAAGAAACATAAAAAAAAAATAGCGAATGCAAAAGTTGTTGGACGCTACAGAGAAAGAGGAGACAGACGGAGGAAGAGCAGGATGGTGCAGCCATGCACGTCCCCCTTCAGACAGAGATTAAACTGGTGAGATGTAAAGAAGAAGGGGGAGATGGAGATAGAGGGAGAGAGAGAGAGAGAGAGAGAGAGAGAGATCATGCCTATATGGTTTGAAAGGTTTGAATCAGGGAGTGCATGCATGAGCTTCAACGTTCATTATCAAAAACATAACATTACTGTAGGGAAACAGGCAAGATAGGATGGGAACGTCAGGGAGTGTGCAAAAATTAGTATGGGGAGACAGAAAAGGTGAGAGGGTTATGTACTTTTACTTTTGCTCATGGCAGAGTATATTCTTTGGGAGAGCAGAGGAGGGTTTTTTTAATTTTTCCACATTCCCCCCAGAATAATATTTTTTTTATTTATTCTGAGGCAAAAAATATTGTGTATAATAGATCTCACTTTTTACCAGCTCTTTATTCAAAAATGTGCTGATGAGCAAGTAGTTTTTTCATCACCCTTTAAGTAAGTAGGGTGTGCTTTTTGATTGTTTGTGTTTGTGAATTTGGGCAATCATAAAATTGACTACTCTGTAGGATTCAGTGGCATCTAGCAGTGTAGTTGCAAATCGCAACCCTTCGAAGCTAGAAGGAGAAACTACAGTGCCTGAAAAACATGCGAAAAAATACAAACACCCCTATGTAGAGACATTGTTTGGTTTGTCCCTTCTGGGCTACTGTATAAACATGGTGGTTCAACATGGAAGGTAGATATAAAAGGCAAATTGTAAGGTCACAAAAACACAATTCCTATACACCAATGAAAACGTGGCTATAAATAATATATTCCATTTCTTCGCATAGAGCCTGCTAAACGTTACACACCGGACCTTTAACCTCATGATCAATTGTTACCCTGCACGCTTGAATAAACCTGCTATGGGGTCCCTGTACCACAGCACAACATGTCCCTGCATGTTTCCTGCATTCATTAAACACACATTAATGTAGGAATATGCAACATATAACCACAAAACTGAAATAATAAAGGTTCTGAGACTAGAATTTGACAAAGAGACCCTCTTAAGGTCCTTATCATATCAGCCCATATTGCGCTGCATACTCCTTATTTTATATTAAAGGATCGGTTAGTCCTCATTCTGTGCAACTTTGTCCAAATGTTCTAATCTTATCTGAAAGTCTTCTTTAGCCAAATTAATTAGATATCTTCCAAAGTTATATAAGTCTTTTTATTAAAACCATTCCCTCTTTGTGTTTCTGTCCCTCCATCACAGCTCAGAAAGGAAAGTCCACCACCATTTACACTGGAAACACATTAGGAAAGGATCTCTTAAGGTCCAGTAACAAGAGGAAGGATTACAGAAAAAAACGGTTACAAAATCCATATGGTCACCTGGCTATTGTTTTAATGCAGACTTGAACCTGTCCTTTAAATTTGCACAGTCCAGTTGACATACAGTAAACCTACCGCAGCCCCCAGAGTTTTTGGCCTCTGGGCTGTTACCTTCTTGGCCCAGCTGATAAAACAGCCACATGATTGCATGTAAGGATGAAGACTTTTGCAGTTTTAGCTACATCATTTTGAATGCCCTCCAGATGTGCAAAGGGACACCTTGACTGAATAATTAAAACTAAAGGTCTAAATATAGAACACCCAGAATATTTTATGAAGGCTGCTCAAAAGAACTTTATTTCAAACTACTCGGGAATCCTTCAGAAGAGACTCGCTTGTCCTCTGCTAGGATTTATTGGAATTACAATTGGTGGTATGCAGACGATTAAAACAGTTGGATTTGAAAATGAAATGTCTGGTGTCAAAATTTCTTTCTACAGAAGCCTCCATTTAATTGAGCCTCTATTTAATGGAGGCTTCAGAACACTGTATGCCTTTTGGTGTCTAGTTTGCATAGTCATTATAGGAAGAAGTCTTATCGGTAATTTAGCTGCAATTAAACCAAACAAACCGTGATTAAATATGGTACTTGTTGTGTTTTATAATTAATGGTTTCTTAATAAACCCATCTGTCTGGTGGAGTTTTGTAACTGGAGATGTCTTCTTCGTATGATGATGAGAAATGTTGATCAGGTTGTCATGGACGATGTCACTAAAGTCCTTTCTAAGGAGAGCCGTCACACAGAGACTAATTTCACACCCTGTTTGTGTTTTTATGCTTCAAAATGAATCATAAGCACAGGGGTATCACAGCAGGGGGGCAGCTCTATGAGTCTGATACAGCTGCGTCTTATGTAGAAATGACCCTACTTCTCACTTGATTTATTAGCTTTATGGTCTTAATCGCTAGTTTGAAGTCTTCTTCCATACAGCATGATGCTGACATGGTCCAATTTGGAGTAAAATAGAAGATAAAGCAGGGTATGCTTTAGGGCGTGGCTACCTTGTGATTGTCATTCTCAGTGAGTCCGTCCAGCCAACACACAAAACTTATATTAAACTGTCAAACTAGGCAGTGCTGATTGAATATAAATCAAGATTCTCACCTAAAATATATATATCAGAAATATATTTTAGTGTACTGTTTATTTGTAATGTGTGAATGTGTGTGACCAGGGAAGCTGGCATTGTTTACTGAGGATGAGTTGAAACTACATTCAGACTGCAGGCAAAGTAGGGTTGTAGGGTTTGGTAATAAAACAGGTGGTAGATGTGTGTGTGTGTGTGTGTGTGTGTGTGTGTGTGTGTGTGTGTGTGTGTGTGTGTGTGTGTGTGTGTGTGTGTGTGTGTGTGCAATTTGTCCAAACAAAAAGGCTGTTTTTGTGTAGTTTTGGGGTAGAAGTATATTTCAACCGGCTCATTTGGGAAATTCAAACCGCAGTGTGATGCAGTACCCTCCTACTGTATAACCTGCGGCTCTCAGCTGCCTACTGTGGCTCCTTCTGCCAACCACAGAGAGGTTTGATTGTATATGCTTTTCAGAAAAAAAGGCTCAATTTGTAGTTTTACTTTGCCAAGTTTGTTAACAAAAAAAAATGTTTTTGTCTCATTAGGTAGATACGATAGAAATGTATTTTTCCAGTAGCTGATCTGTATGTTGCTGCAGACAAATTAAATATGAGCCCAGTGAAGAACCATATTTCATGTTTCTGACACTCTGTCTGGCTGGAATTCATTGACACTGAGCCCTCAGCTGATACACTCTCAGATCCTTTGTCCTCTCTTTTTTGACAGTAAAGGTTAAATGCAAAATGACTTTCAGAAGAATCCATTCATGCATCACAAGTTAGACAGTTTTATTCTCAGTTTGGAATCAAATTTGACCACCAACACCCCAAAACCATAGATTGCACTAATCTGCTCCATTAACATTTTGGTGTCCAAAGTGGTGCAAATAGTGCTGCATTTCTGTGTGTATAATTATTCAGGCTGCGTTGTTATCCAGCTAAGAGCGAATGACCTACTTACTTCAAAACCATTCTCTCCTCAAAGACTATTACTTTTTTTAAGTGATACGCAAGACGTTGTGATTCTTATTAGTATTCGTTGCTGGTAGGGCTCCCCCTATATTGTGCAATGAATATATAACGCCTTTCTTTACACCATAAAAATGTTTATTTACACGTCACCTGCTGTTTTTATTTGTTAATTAGTGTCTGAGTTGTTTATATATTATATATTAACACAAATTGAGGACAATTAGTATTCGTAACCTACTTAATGCAGAGGAAACGTTTTCTAATGCTGAATTTACGCCATTTGTTGTGTAATCCTTAAAATCCCTGTTGATAAAAAATATGGGATTTGGAAGAAACACCAAAGAATATTTATGGTATTTGGCAGATGCTTTTCTCCAGATTGACTTACAATCCTTCTCAGAATTCGTGACGATGTCAGCACCCTCACATCTGTTGCCCCTTACAAAGATATAATATCTGTCCAAGATTTACAGACACTGAATGAGAAAGGATTTACATGTCTTTTGTAAGATTTGGAAAGATGTAATGAAGACTTATCAAAAGGCAGCTAATGTAGCAAGAGCATCCTTCTTCTGAATTTAATTTTAGCAAATCACTCTAACTGCAGAATTTTATTTAAGGTAATAGACTCAGTCACCACCCCTTCCCCGCTTTAACAATGCCTCACAAGAGATGTGTGAGGAGTTTTTACATTTCTTATTATTTTAGCAATTTTGGACCTGTATCACTTTTTTTATCTAAAATCATATCTGATATGAACAGGGGCGGATCTAGAGAAATAGTAATGGGGTGGTAAGAGGGTGGCATTGAGATTTTAAGGGGTGGCAGATAGGCTGATTAAATCACAAATCATATATATCATTTGCTTGAAAAAGCCCCAAAATGAAGATATTTGAACGTAAAAACATTGTTTTATTGTCGCACACAAGTAAAGCATTGAATAGAAATATCTAAAGGTGGCATTGGAAAGCAAACTTCCTTCGTTTTTTTTCTAAATCTTCAGATATTTTCTTTTTTGGCCCCAGGCTACACAGCAGAAAGTTGACCCCTTATGAGCCAATGTGTTGCCTTGGATCCTCTCCCCCTCTGGCTGTTCCAAAGTCAAGGCTTAAATCTAAAGGGGACCGTGCTCATGCCGTCAGGGCCTCTCGGCTCTTGCCCGAGGAGATTCGCACAATCAGTGACATTTTTAGAGAATTGCTTTTATGGTTCTTACATTTACTGTAACAAGAACTAGGCATCTCTAAGCTGCGTTGTATATGAAGCATTACAGCTTCAATAACTTGCAATGCTACCATGAAATATCCTAAGAAACTGAATGTTGTGGAGACAGGAGACACGGAAGTAATTTATATCCTTTGATAAAGCTTTGAATCACTGCTATGGTTGTGTTTACCTGAATAGTAATGTTTTTTAAAGCAAACAGGACTGTACCAGCTGAATAGGCAGGAGTTCTTTCAGCTATTAAATTACAGTCATTGGCCTTGACACCTGAGGTCGCCAACAGAGGGCACAGTAACTTCAGGATGTGACACTGTATATACAAAGTAATGTGTGTGTGGGTGTCTGCATGACATGGCAAGAATCATTTCATTTTCCAGTTGGACAATAGTATC